ATTTGCATCCACACAAATAAAAATATAAATAAAATCAAAGTTCGAAATGTACTAAAAGTTCTTTAATTAACTATATTTTTCTCAAACTGGCTTTACAACTATATAATAATCATGGATGCTAATGTAAATGAAGTCAACGAAGGTCGTGATGTCGTATCTCATTTTTCAACTTGTGTTTTGATTGTTCACTAATTATCTTCATTTTTGGCTTATGATGATGCACCCTACATGACTACTTCGTAAAACTACTTCTTAAATTAAATTTTTTTTTTTTAAATGCAAAATTACCCGTCTCGTTATATTTATCAGGATTTCCTTGATAAAGGATTGCTGCTCACAAGGAAGCTATTAAACCAAGAGTTCCAAATGGTGAAGTTGAAATCATTCCTTCGTAAATTTTATGGACGTCATCACGAGTTGGTTGACCGTTATGGAATAACCGTTTCACAGATGATATCGGATATGTTCATTATGTCGTAACTACAATACCCTTCCCTTTTCACGAATGTGACTTACCGAATTAGACTATTTACCGGATTTGTAATAACATAAGCAACACGACGGGTGCCACATGTGGAGCAGAATCTGCTTACCCTTCCGGAGCACCTGAGATCACCCCCAGTTTTTGGTGGGGTTCGTGTTGCTTAGTCTTTAGTTTTCTATGTTGTGTCATCTGTACTATTATTTGTCTGTTTGTCTTTTTATTTTTGGCCATGGCGTTGTCAGTTTGTATTCGATCTATGAGTTTGACTGTCCCTCTGGTATCTTTCGTCCCTCCTTTCCTTTCTGAAGTTCGCACGCAAGCCTTCTTGTAGGCAAACAATTATGAAATGAAAAAAAAACCCAAAAAAAACCAAAAAAAAAAAAAACAATGTGCTACATTTTAACATACAATTTTTGTTTTAATTTCTATAATGTTATTACTACATCAGTGTATCGTATTGTTCTACTGTCCTTTTCATAACGTCACCAAGCTATATGATTGAAAACGACATAGCAAAGTATTTGAGCGGTAGGATAGACACCGATACATGTAACTATCTTTACCACTTGAGTAACGAAGTTCATACTTTGTAAGTCGTCGAATTTAATTTGAAGGACATGTATTTAAAATAGATATCTTAAAATACAAATAATGTAGTCTGAAAATTTTACAAGTACAGCTCTCCTTGTAATTTATGTTATATAATTTCAGATCAATTACAATAGCTTTGAATTAATTCCTGCTTCTGCATTTTGTACATTTCTCAATTTAAAAGAGTAGTCTATTAATATTACGTAAACTTTTGTTATGTCGATCTTTTTGTATTGGTATAGAACTTGCAACCTTTGGTGTTAGGCGTAATTGTTGACGGGAAATTGACTGATCGGTGAATGATTGGTGACGGATGTTTGACTGATCGGTAATCGATGACCCATAGAATCCTTCAGATACGTCAAATACGCTAAGTGTTTATTACTAAATGTCATCACCCAATAGTTATCAGATATTCTGTGACAAATGATTGACGTTATAGCCATTTTGTGATTCTTTTAGAGAGAAGTTGTGAAAAGCTCCCTAACATGCATCATTTTAAAGTATAGACACCATTATGATATAATGGGCGAAGAAACATATATCAAAATTTACTTATTTTTTATTTCTAATATCAAACGTGTGCGTTACTTGATAAGTTCGATGTCTCAGATCAATTAGTAGCTAAACGGTTAGAATATTTACATAACTACCGTCCGAGCATAACCATAACTGTATCAGTATCAATAAATGATAAAATCGTCCATTGATAATATATTATATATTAACCAAAACGACGACTTCAAAATTTGTTTAAATAATTCTAGCGTCTGCGTTCCAAAACACTAACCTTGAGGTCATGTGAAGTATCAAATTACTGTAAGATAGACGCTTGAGATCAAAATTGATATGTCTGAGGGTGTTGATTGATCGGAAATACAAAGATTATATGTATAACATGATATAGTACTTCAGGCGGATTGGAACAATTTTTAATCAAGGTTAGTTTTCTTTAATCTCGTTTATCGTCAAAATCTAATTGAAATCAATTCTAACATTATTATAGGTCCACTACGGTCACTGATTGTACGACCCTGATAGCCAACTTGTTTTTGTACTCACATGATGCATAACTTACACAGAAACTTCTCGAATAAAACAAAACAAAACAAACCTTTCAAACATCTCCAATTTAATTTTCAGATATAAGGATGTTGCCTGGTCACACAATAACCAAATACAAGTGACCTTGAGATTAATGATACTGCTTCATATCTTGATATATGCCCTTATTTTGACACAGATGGTAGACAATAACCTACACCCATTGTGGCCTTCTTAATCTAACTATGTAACAGTTAATATGGTACATGATGCGAACGCACTATGCTCATCGTCACGTCCATTTGATCCCTGGTTCATATGAAGTAAATTACACGCGTGGACTTCTAAAAAAATCAAAAGAAGTATATATGAACTTCTCTCTGTACTTATACGTTAAGCTTATATTATGATTCGTTGTTTATATATGATAGTAAATGCAATATACGAATTTCGATTTAATGAATGATTTACCCTAGTTGACCTGGAATCATTCATTGGAAAACGCGTCATGGGACAACGTGGCGGCTTGATGATATTAGCTGTGTAACGTCATTTTTTTCCGGGGAAAAGCATAAGTTGGAAGATCATGTATGTTTATCCAAATGATATTTTTTTATTAACATGAATATGTATTTCTTTTAACATTTAAACAAACAGTGGACTCATCTTGTGTTATTTCATGTATATTAACGAATCACAAATGTTTCAGATCCGGTGTAACTAGGTAGTTTCTTGACCAAATAGGCTTAACTTAAATTTAGACCAAAAAGAGAGAGTTTAAATGGCGAATGAAACAGGGATTCTTCGTTTGTTTTTGACAATAAACATTGGCTTTTGTCAGAATTTGAATGATGCCAAGGATTTGTATAACGCATTATTCGTGAGAAGCGATTACAATAAACAAGTGAGACCGATTCTTGATCAAACTAATGCCGTTTTAGTCATAGCCACACTGCAACTAACTAGCATTCATAAAATTGATGAGGTAGTAGAGACATTAATTGTTCCAGGTTTCCTTGATATCTACTGGGTAGATGAACATCTAGTTTGGGAGTTTGGGATAGCGATGATTACAATGATATCGACTCCAATACTATTCTTTAGGTAAGTAGCCAAACACTTCATTTCTCTTATTAGTCGACCATTTAAGCAATTTTTGACAATTTGGGCAATTTAAAAAAAAAAAAACACTCGTTAATGATAATATTGTCGCATGTGATTTCCTGCCAAATGAATACTCTTTTTTTCAGTCAGTCATTAGGGAAGTATATTTTACATCTGGCATCAATATTAATGATTTCAAATCTGTAAATTTTAACATGTACGGCCCACATCGACATAGTAATTTGGTAAAATATAAACTTAATCAGATATTAACTTCATATTGAACTATTTTGATAGATTACAATAAACAAGTGAGACCGGTTTTTGATAGACTGGGCCGTTAATTTCCAGTAAATTCTGGCTAAATAAGCATCAGGATCTGTTTTCAGATTTCAGATAAAAGACTGTATTTCCAGACATTAAATTAAACTTCAAGGTAAATTTTAAAAAATGGGAAGTCCATATAACCAAACAAATACAAACGCTCGACTATATCAACCAGCGGAAGGAATTGAAACGATTTGTCTTATTCCCCACTTGGTTATAAAATACAAATAATTACACCATTATACTAACACAATTCTATATTAATATTCTTGTAATGGATAGAAAATACATCAAATAACACCATTCCAAACTTAATCCCAAATTTATATTCTATTTTTAGAAATTTACCTGTAACGTCACTTTTTGTGCCGTTGATACATTCGTGTGACGCACAGTTTATTGTTCTATTGTGCTGTATTTGTGTTATGTTGTAAATTAATTTTAGGTGTTCGTTGTTATTCTGTGGTTTACATGTTGAAATGTACTATTTTATTATTTATTTATGTATTTCTCTGTCCTGAATGTTCTTGCATTTATTTGTACTGTATTCCTTCCACGTAATGTTGTCATTTTAGCGGTATTTTTAACATTGCCATATAAGCGGGAGGTTTGGCTAGCCATAAAACCAGGTTCAATCCATAATTTTTTTTCTTTAAATTTCCTGTACCAAGTCAGGAAACTGGCAGTTATTATCACATAGTCCGTTTCTATGTATGTTGGCGTTTGTTTTTGTAGCAGTTCCGTTGTTACTGTTGTTTCGTTTTTGTTTCCTCTTATAGTTGATGTGTTACCCTCAGTTTTGGTTTGTGACCCGGATTTGTTTCTGTTAAATCGATTTATGAGTATTGAACAGCGGTATCCCAGTCAACAGACTAACAGTGGGCCAACGTTGGCAAATTGTCGGTCCGTTGGTCGACCGTTGGTGTTGGCTGCACAACATTGGCCCAACGTTGGCAAATTGTCGGTCCGTTGGACGACCGTTGGTGTTGGCTGCACAACATTGGCCCAACGTTGGCAAATTATCGGTCCGTTGGTCGCACGTTGGTGTTTGCTGCACAACATTGGCCCAACGTTGGCCTGCTGTTGTAAATTCATATTATTATCTCATGTTGGTTATAAATAACCGGGCCAACGTTGGCATTATGTTAGTAGCAACATAGGGCCGATATGAAAATTTGTTAATAAAAATTGATTATGAAATATTTTACGCTTTATTTCTCTTGGGAAGGCGGATAATTTAGATTGCTGCATGCTTTATGAAAAGTTAATGTTATACCGAAAGTGTTCATCAACTGAAATAACATTTACAACCATATGTTGGGCCAATGCTGGGCCAACGTTGATCCTATATTATACTCTATATATAAGTCAGGTTAAATTTATACTGGAATATCATTACTGTAATAAAAAAAAATATATCGTAAACATAGATTGCCTTGTTAAAAGTTTAAATTTATTGCAATCATTATTTATTATAACTTTATTCATTAAACCTTGTGAAACATAATAATTTAGCAATTATATACAGAGTGATATACGATACAGCCAGTCTGTTAATCAAGCTCATTCTGATAAGGTTGACCATATGTTAGACAAATTTCAAAGATAGTTGCTATGGTAATTAAGATTATAGGAAATCTGAATGTAATGGGATGGTCACTTTTGTGGTTATTTCCTGTTGTGTATTTGTAAGAAAACAGTGAAACGAAGAAAACAAAAAGAGAAAATCATATCATCTGAGGTTCAAAGAAAAAGAAAGTAACATGTAAGTTATAACTTTAAAAATTCTGTTATATTTACGATTGTGAATGACATACAATATGTTTTATTTAATCTGAGGGATGTTGTTCAAAAATAAAACATATAATTTCTATAATTTTATAATGTTGATCTTGAAGTTTATACGTTTCTGGCGAAATATTTTCTAGATTTTGTTTAAACCATGTCAATCCTAAATAATCATGAAATATTTGCCACTGAACATTAGTATCATCAAACAAATTGTAAATTGCTAATATTTTAACATTTTATTTCTGAAATCTATAACGATTGCATTTATCACCATTACTGAAGTTAATGGAAAAAATCTGTCTTAAGATGTACCTTGTTCTGTAATGTTTCAGAAATGTGGTATAATGATTTCTACTTCACAGAAATATAAATGAATTTGTTAGTTTTATTATTTCTAAATCGCATGCAAACAGATACGATATATTTGTGAAACCTGATCATATACACACTTGCATGTGTAACAGTGTTTTAGATATCAAATAGAGTATTTATTTATTAAATTCATTGCAAGAATGTTGTAATTTATAATATATAATTATACGGACTCGACTGAATTTAGTTTTTTGTCCTCGGCAAAACTTTTGCAAAAGAAAACCGATATTTGAATAGTTTGTAGGAGTAAATATGAGTCACAAAAAGCTGACGCTTGAAATATAAAAAAAAAATAGGGGGGATGTAAAAAAAGACTATACCACACATAATGATATTTATAAATGAAAAAGACTAAAAATTATTGTCTGAATTACTTGAAATATCTTTTCTTTTTAATATACAATTTTACATTTTAATATAAATTTATAGGTCAGGTATTTGAGTACTACAGAAGACAAAATAAATCAGAGTGCAAAAGTAATAATACAGAGCTAGGAATAATAGAAATTATTGCCAACATCCTGGCTAGAAAATGCATGGGAATGGAGATGGGAAAAAATGCATTCAACCATTTGATAGCCCAGAACGAATAACTTTAAGAAAGTAAGTTAACATAATAGCCATCATTTATGATACATCGGATTCGAATTTCACAGATATATATGCATAAAATGTTTAATACTACCGTTAATGCTAGTGTATTTAGATTTGACTTTGTGTTTTTTTTTCAACTAGTGTTATTTATTTACTTAGAACGTTATTTGACAAAGTTTCCTGTATCCATTTCTACACTCAATTGTCCTGCTTAACCTAGCTAGCGAGGTGAAGTCTAACCATTATGTTAAAGCATACAATATGCCTTTTGCCTTGGCTTGTATAGCCTAGGGAAAATATAAAAAAAAGAGTATTGTTTCTTACTATTGTAATGTGCCAGGACACCGGAAACAATGCATTTTTTGTCTTTTTGTTTATGTTTTAGGAGGATTTAATATATTCTAAATATACATACATTGAGTACTCATTTATTCATTACTTTATTACAGAGGTACATGTAGTGAAATAACTTTTATGAAGATATGCTAAACTGGATATTAAAAGGATTTAACATAAGACGGAGCCGGAAATTATGATAAAACAAAGTGTAGCAGAAAACAAAAGGAACACTCTTGTGAATGAAAACCATGTTGGAATACAGAACTAGAAAATTAGCTGTATAAAATGAATTATCAATGCCTTCATACAGAGCTTGGATACTGCAACATAAACTGTAATGATATTATACAAATGGGATAAATTAATTATCATGAATGGACTTTATAATTTTCATTCTATAGATCTGATTTAGCAACGTATAGATACAAAAAAGACTTTTTTTAAAATTTGCTTGTTGTCTAGCTAATAATAAATTATATTTAATCATACCTTTGTATTTACATTATTTAAGAAAAATAGGTTACAGGGATACGTTGATTGAGTTCATACAAATATGGGTATAAAATTCAAAAGTACAATTCCTGGAGAGAGATTGATTGGTTGTTGGTAACTGAAACGTCCATTGGCAAATATTTCATTCATGTTCAGGAAAATGGAGAGAAAGTGGCAAAATACAAATTTTCGGGTAGTATGTTAGACACAACATGGTATAGTGGATCTGTAAAACGCAATAATTGCAACATTTCAAAAGAGGATTACTTTCGCCATTACTTTGAACTGATGCAAGATACAGGAATTATTGCAGTTGTTGCCTGGAAGGGAGTTTAGTATCCTTCATATGGATAGAAAAGTTTACAGATTGAACCAACGGAGTGCCAACGTTTGTTAACAGTTTGTATTACTACGTTGGCCCAACGTTTGTTCAACATCGGCAAGTATTATTCCATCATTGGACCAACGTTGGGCCAATGTATTGTATAAAACCTTACAACGTTGTGCCAACGTTTAGCCATCACGTTGGGCCAACATAGGGCCACTTTGCACTTATACATTGGGCCAACGTTTAAAAACAACGTTGGGCCAATGCATGTAGATACGTTGGGACAACATTGTGCCAACGTACCAATGTTGTCTGGGATACTGCTATTGCCTTTATTCGGTACAACATTTTCTGAAGACAATGGAGGTAACCTTCGTTTAACATCTAGCTGAACTTCCCACTTGTATGACAGTTACTGATAGTTCTATTGTATCGACAAAATAAGTTGAGCATCCCAAACAGACGTAACTGGTTAACATGACAATAAATGGAATCCAGCTGCGTAAACTGTGTAAACATATATACATCACAGACGTAGAACACTTGACTTGAAAATTCTAACAAACAGACATATAAATATGATAACCACGCCGACAACAAAATGTAGTTGATAGTATTTATAGTATAGTAAAAATATATACATTAAGTAGCATATGAATATGAGGGTATACAAAATGAAAACAACACTATGAAAACCGCCGAATCGGACCGCTGGGGCCAACCGCACCAGTGACACCCAAAGCCAAAACTCGAAAACTTGTTGCACAAACACCGATCCAAGTTCAGAATCATTCGACAAAAAGAAACACAATACTATTGTACTAAAACAAAAAAACAAAAGCTGTGAATCAAATAATATGATACACAACGTCAGCACATATAAAATATACATCAAGATCATCCTGTAGTATTTGTAAAGAATACAAATATTTATCTAAAAGGTTTTGTTATTTCCCAATGGTCATTGTGAGTTCAAGGACGAGCTGTTCTTAAACAAAAGCCTGGCTCTTTATTTTTTGGCTCAGAATCCGATGATGTTTAACTAAATTTGAATAGCAGATGCAAATTCTGGAATATCGTTTGAGTTGGTACATGGATAATCCATACCCGGTTGAAGTTGGAATAATGCTGACAAATGAATGAACATTGTAATTTCAAAATTAAAATTGTCTCGTTTGTCATAGACTTTGGTACTGGGATGACCAATGTAGTCATAGATATATATATATATATATCAAAATGAGGCTATGGAACTGGCTGATATGAAATTATTTTAATCTCTAGTTCAGGAAGATATGTAGTAGGACTCAATCAGAAAAGTTTGAATTGTTAACGGAAAGAAGATCATAAATAGACCTGTATGTGAAATTTAATGATCAAATTTCTATGAACTCCTTATGTGACAAGTGTCTGAAGAAACTCCAACTCATATGAAAATAAGTAAAGGTCTGCATGGAGAGAAGCACGATTGGTTCATTTAGAAATACCGACAACCTGCTGAGTTTAATTGAACCGCCTTTTGAACAAAGTCAATAATTAAATTATGTTAATATTCCCACTTATATGCAACAAAACTATCTGCAATTGGTCTTTAAATACGCTAATATACCTTTTTTAAGACAATATCTGGAAACCAAACCTTGGTTTAAAGAATGGATTCAAAAAGTTACAAGAATTAGGTGGAAGTTTTTACTATGTTCGGATTGATAGTTTTGGTGGGGTAACTTGGTTTCCATATCACTTGTCCGAAAGTCGATATTCCATCGATGTTACCCATTTTCCATTTGATGAAGAGTCTTGTCCGTTTCACAACTTGCTCTTATTTGATTTTGAAGTTGATCTTCACCTGAATTCAATTATACATCTTAGAGAATACATCAGGAATAGTTTATGGGCAATCACTACAACTTAACAATGATTAGTGAGCAACTTCCCGTCAATTTAGAAAGCACATTCTTCATCAGCTTTTACATTGTCATTTAATTAGGTTACAGTATTCTAGTTCTTGTTGATAATTCTTTACAGTTACGAATTCATCATAGAGAAGAATGCCACAGAAAGTCGAAAATGTATGTCAATATTGTAAAATTTGAAAGAAGAATTCGTTATTCGTTTAGAAGTAACGTTTCTGATACACAAAACAGAGAATACGTTAACGTCAATGAAGTAAGCGTGGATGAAAATACATCCGTTAAAATGAATTCTATTGAAGGCGCTATACAATGGCGTTATGTATTGTCTTCCATTGACTTCTGTGCTTATTGTAATTTTCTGGGTACATATTTGATTATATCATTTGTTATTTTCATGTATATAAGTGGCGCTAGCTCAGGCGTTTGATATTATATATACTCCTCTTGTTTCTTGTAATTTTGTTGCGACATTGATGACGTTTTATTTGTGCGTACTTTTGCGAAATGTTTATATCTCTCGATCTTTTGATGTGTAAGCCCTTACACTACAAAACACAACGCATGTTCAATTTTGCCGAGGAAAGCTCAGAGATACTTCAAAAGTATGACCAGATAATTCGTTCAAAATGTATGTTATTGCAGTTCTAACTATTGATGATCATTTCTGTTTTGAGAATGCGATACACAGGGATGATAATCTGACATCGGCTGAAACTATTTGTATAAGCTCTACTTGTCGAGCCAGAATAATTTTCTTTCTTGTATACGATTAACTTATGATCGGAATATTCCATTTGGTATATTCCGTTTTCCTTGACTTCGGGATCAGACTTAAGTATGTCCAGTAGCTGCTTAAGAACTGTATAGGTATTTATTTTATTATTGCTTTAGTCATTATTAGTTAATGCTTGGTATATATACTCATTGCAAGGTAAAAATTTCCATTAGACAGGGATCACCATACCTTATTTTATGAGTCTGTGATCAAAGTTTAATATATACAAGATACAGTCCATTATGCAGATACTATAACTAATTATAACCAATAGGTTAACCTTATTTAGCGTATAAAATGCTGATCAGGTATATATTTCCATCTGCCATGGTTAAGCTGACCTTAACATCATTTTGAGCTTCACATTTCATGGCCATTACATTGTAGGTGTTAACCCATGAAATTTACAACCAACATGTAATGCCCATTAAAACAGTTCTATTTAACGACCATTTAGAAACAATAAATTACTGGTCATTCAAAAAAATGATGGGAAATTAAAACAGCCATTATAGGTACAATATTAGGACCCATTAAATAAAAATTACCGACATTAATGAGTATTGGCCATGTTTAATGGCTTATTTGAATGGCTGTCAAATTCCCATTAAAATAAAATAGCCTTGCATTTAATGATCATTAAACTTTCTTAATCTCATAATACTTGTAAGGCGTGTTAAAAGAATATTAAGGGTTTTCCCACCTACTCTATTTTTTATACAGAAAATACCAACCCTTAGATTTTTTTTAACATTTTTTTTACACGGAAACAGTGTTAAAACCTCTAATTTCCTCCCATATACACAAGAAAAAAAATCAAAATTTTGGATTGACTGAAAAAAATAATTTAATGCTTGGTTTGTATACAGGTATAGTACAAAACAAATCTTTCTTGCTACAACACCTCCCCCCCCCCCCCTCTTTTCCCCTTGAAAATCAAAATGGTATGTGCCTTGGCTTATGGTATTCAAACAAGATAAAAGTGAAAATCTGACAAAAATTGAAACCTGACCAGCAAACATTATTAAACAGTGACTATGGTCAGCTTAAGTCTCACCCACAAAACTAAAAACTAATATTAGAATTACATGTATGTGTCAGATATAAAGGATACATGTAAACTTCTTTTCCTTTCTGTAACTAAACTTGCTGTCTCCTTTCTTTCAACTAGAATTGCTGGATAAAGGTAACTGAAATCTGCATGAAATCTGTTTTATATCATTACTGGCATCTACTTTAATCAATTAATCCCCTAAAAGTACAAAAAAATCCACAGAGAATCAATTGTTCAGGACGTTATGAAGCAATAAATTCCATAGAAACATTATTGCATATATAAATATTACATTTGAAGCCATTTGGAATTAGATTAATTAACCTTCCCCCTTTTTTTATTGCCTGAAGATAAAACTGGCTGCTTATAATTTTCACCAAGGAATCATTCGCAAAATTCAATTTAATTTTTACATATTTACCAGTTATACCTGTTACAAATATGATAACAATTATTCATTGTTGTGTATAATAATCATGATTATATATATCTATTTTCAGTTTATGCTTCCAGACTTTCTGGTGCTGATTTGGTCAAATTAAAACTAAAAAAATTCAATATACCTCAACAAATCATACTTTATAATCAATATCATGATCATATGTTAAATTAAATTTCA